TTTTAGATCTCTCTCTCTCTCTCTCTCTCTCTCTCTCTCTCTCTCTCTCTCTCTCTCTCTCTCTCTCTCTCTCTCTCTCTCTCTCTCTCTCTCTCTTCTCTCTCTCTCTCTCTCTCCTCTTCTCTCTCTCTCTCTCCTCTCTCTCTCTCTCTCTCTCTCCTCTCCCTCTCTTCCTCTCTCCCTCTCTCTCTCCCTCTCCCTCTCCCTCTCCCTTCTCCCTCTCCCTCTCCTCTCTCTCCCTCTCTCTCTCTCTCTCTCTCTCTCTCTTCTCTCTCTCCTCTCTCTCTCTCTCTCTCTCTCCCTCTCCCTCTCCCTCTCCTCCCTCCCTTCTCTCCTCTCCTCTCTCTCTCTCTCTCTCTCTCTCTCTCTCTCTCTCTTCTCTCTCTCTCTCTCTCTCTCTCTCTCTCCTCTCTCTCTCTCTCTCTCTCTCTCTCTCTCTCTCTCCTCTCTCTCTCTCTCTCTCTCTCTCCCTCTCTCTCTCTCTCTCTCCTCATCTCTCTCTCTCTCTCCCTCTCTCTCTCTCTCTCTCTCTCTCTCTCTCTCTCTCTCTCTCTCCTCTCTCTCTCTTCCCTCTCTCTCTCTTCATCTCTCTCTCTCCCTCTCTCCCTCTCTCCCTCCTCCCTCTCTCTCTTTCTCTCTCTCTCCTCTCTCTCTCCCTCTCTCTCTCCCTCTCTCTCTCTCTCTCTCTCCCCTCTCTCTCTCCCTCTCTCTCTCTCTCTCTCTCTCTCTCTCTCTCTCTCTCTCTCTCTCTCTCTCTCTCTCTCTCTCTCTCTCTCTCTCTCTCTCTCTCTCTCTCTCTCTCTCTCTCTCTCTCTCTCTCTCTCTCTCTCTCCTCTCTCTCTCTTCTCTCTCTCTCTCTCTCTCCTCTCTCTCTCTCTCTCTCTCTCTCTCTCTCTCTCTTCTCTCTCATATCCATCCATGCGTATACAACCTGATATTTTGTTTATCTCTGAATAGCAACATAAAATTGAAAAAAGTATTCCTCAATTAGTCCTACACCAGTGTTCATCATCCTGATTTTATTTTCCCTTAGGATACTCCCCCACGGCTATACCTACAACAGCAAGTCAGACTTTAGTGATCGGTCAGTTGCCAGTTGGTGTCATCAGCAGTCAGCAACACAATATACTTCCTGCCCATTCTTCAACCCACAAGCCTACTGACATGCAGAAAGTAAGTCTTGACACTCCGAGTTTGTAATTGTTCTGGGAGTGATATCTATAGGGGTCACTTGAGAATGTGGTATTCTGCTGGGTGATTCTACTTGACGTTCTTGAAATAGATTTGATGCCAAATAAAGAATAAGGAAAATGTTTTGTATCTTTTACTGAAATTTGATCATGAAAAACTGCATCTAGATAAATGAATGGAAAATAAGATAATTAATGTTTTCTTTTTCTTTTTCTTTTTCTTTGTACAACAGCAAGGCATCACTTGGGCCACTCCAGGTGCCTTACACTCTCCTGCCCTCCTAACTGCTCAGAATCCGCCTATTTTCATCCGTGGACCACAACAGGGACAAGAAAATGTCTTTATATCTAACCCACAACCAGCTATGCATGTACCTAATTGTAAGTAATTTTTAACATAAAACTTGTATGTCTGAAGGTGTGCATGTAGAGCTTGTGCTGTGATTTTATTATATATGTCCAGAACTGATGAAGTCTTTGGCTTCTGCACACATGCTCACACAATATTAACATACCAATCTTTCTCCTGTAGCCATGATGCCACCTTTAGGGTCAATGCAGCCAAGCCCACAGAATCAGAAGCCAAGAGCGGGGATGGAGATTCAGCCGAAAACGCCCAACATGCGCCCAGCGATCCTTCCTTCCAATTCTACACAAATACGACATGGTTCTTCTGTGTCAACCCAGACTGCCGGCCAACAGCTTGCTCCTGGACACATGTCTGCACCCAGAGCACAGGTAAGCATTACTTTGAAGAAAGTTTATTGCTATGTATAGAGGAATGATAATGACCATTTTACTTATTTTCAGTACTTTTTTTTCCATCATTCATCTATAACTAGATCTGTTCATTTAAATCTACCATCACTTAACAGAATAAGATGCGTGGGAAGAATGCAGCAAATCGAACGTCCCCAGCCATGGCAGCCACCCCACAGATGACGGCTACTCAAGTGAATCACAGCGTTGCAACAGCCAGTGCAGTTGCTGTGGGGACCGCCAACACTGCAACACAGATTATGCAGCAACCCACAGTATCTCAGGCCCCAATGTCAACGGTGACCCCCACATCTATTACTGCTCCAAATAAACTCAACACTCAGTCTGCTGCTCCCATACAAGCTATCTCCAGTATGACTCAGGCCAAGTAAGTGTAATAGATATTGTCTCAGTGATACTGTTTAAAAAAAGAAAAACAAATAAAGTAAGTAAATATATTGAATAAATATTCCTAATTTTGCATTATAAGTGACAGCATGTAAGTCACTTGCTTCATAGCTTCAACCATTTCAGGCCTGGCGTCCCCATGACCCCTCCAACAGCACCTCTCCCTCCAGTGGCACAACCCCCACCGGGCTTACCTCAGTTAGTGAGAGCCCCGCCACCCAAGCCACCTCCAACATCAGTGGCCATCCCTCAGGTGTCTGTGGCGCCATCTCCTCCAGCCCTCATTTCGAGCGTGGCAATGCAAGGCACGACTCCCATTCAGACCTTGACGAGCCAAGCGCCAATCACTAGCCACGCTCCAATTCTGGCCCCTGCAGGCATGCCTCAAATGCAAGTCACTTCCACAGTGGCTCCAGTTACAACCTCCCTTCAGCCACCAACACTAGCCCCAGCCATGCCACCTATTTCCTCCACCCCTCCCACTCTGCAACACAAGCAGCAGGAGGTGAAGGCAGAAAATAGTCCAGCCAAGAAGCTTAATACAATGCCTCCTGTCAGTACAACCACTACAGTGACCGTGACACCTGCCACTCAAGCTGCCCCACAGCCACAGCCACCCCCAACGCCTGCCCCAACACCCACTCCAACTCCAACACAAACCCCAAACCTAACTCCAGTTCAGACTCCCACTCCAACTCCAGCACAAACTCCCACCCCCACTCCTACTCCCACACAAACACCAATGCCTACTCCAGCACCAACGCCAGCTCTTGTGCCAGCTCCAGTGGCGGCTCTTCCAACTCCAACAGTAAATGGCACACCATCCAGTGAAAGCGGGGAAGGTATGTTCTGTTCTCTTGTATTTGTCAAATGACCAGATTTAAAGCTGAATGAATGTATAACTGTAGATTCCTACAGCTGACACTATCGACCGTACTTTTATCAACCAAAGTTTTCTTATGGAGTGGCACTGATAACCTGCCCCTTTCCTTTTCTGCAGTAAGAGATAAGACTCCTCAGCCAACCATGAATGGCACTCACCCAGTCACCCCTCAGCCACCAAGCACTGGGCCACCCAAAGCCATGGTGAAGCCTCAGGTCCTCACACACGTTATCGAAGGCTTCGTTATTCATGAAGGTAAGACTCGGTGTATGGCAAAAAAAACTTGAGTTATCAGCTCTCATCCGTTGTTAACTTCCAAGTTATGTTTTAGTTTTCTCTCCAGTTGATGCCTGCATGCTGTTTTAGAGGCTATAGAACCTCCACTTTTCATCCAACTGATCAGTACTGTTTCGAGTATTTCTTTGTGTAGTGTTTGGATATTGAAAAAAGGGATATTCTCTCTCCCAATGCTTTGCATCCTTTGCATCCATGTGATTTCTTAGTGAGTATGGTTTGAAATGCCCTTTTCTTCTTAAAATATTACTAATTTTGAAATCCATGATACTGCAAGTTAGTCATGAAGACCGAAAGAGGCTATTGCATCTTTGTTTTGCTTTGTTTAGTGTCTTGTTTAAACCTTGTACAGTATTCTAACCATTGTATGCTTCTTGTAGAATATCCTGTTACCTCTGAATGCTATCTATTATCCTTACATTCTGGCTGTAGATGATTAGAACATGCTCTCCATATTCATTTAGTTCCTGTGACTGTCTTGCATGAGAAGAATATTGCCCTTGGACAGTGCATTCATAAACGCTCATCATTCCATATGTTTTCCTCTCTATTTTTCAATCTGATTACTGCATATTATAAATAGTGTACATGCAAATATTACAATAGAAATATTTATAAAAGTACCATCAGCATCTCAGCTTACAAGGAAACGTCAGCCAACATATCACAGTTATTTTATTTCACCAAAATTTATTATTTAGATTGGTATTTAGATGTTTGTGGTCAGGACAACAAAGAAGATGGCTGCATGAATTGGGATATTGAGATATATAGCTTACTACCTTCATATGGCAGAGATTGGTGCATTTTGCAAAACCTTTTAAGTCTGGCAAAAGAATTTTGTGGATGTATGAATTCCTCAGCATTTACTGGCAGCCCATAGGGTTATTTTGTCTGTCTACTTATTTATAGTTTTTCTTTTTTTCTTTCTTTCTTTCTTATTTGTATTTTTGAGAAATGGTCATATTAAGATTTCTTTATCACTTTTTTTTTCTTTATTTCTCTCTTATAATTTGTCAAACCCTTTCACCAGGACAGCTATATTAGTTTATATAGGGGTATATCAGTGTTGTCCGATAGTTTGTATTAGATTGCATTTTCTAAGCCTGGCAGAAGATTATGAAAGCAATTACAATGGATAAAAGACACAAAGCCCTTCTTTTCATTGAAGAGGAACATTGGACAAAAGTCTTGTCAGGTGAAAGGGTTTTATGGAGATAAGGCAATGTTTTAAGAAAAAAGAAAAAAAAAAAATTGGTAAAAGGACAAAAGAAAAAAATAGATTCCAACGCAGACTTCTTAATAGCTTCAGAGCCATTCCCCGTGAGTCGGTCGTCCTTGTTAACCGAGATCTCCAAGCCACGCCCACCCAACTGCACCAACACAATGCCAGTGGCTGCCGTCACCTCTTCGTCGGCTCAAGCTCCAATGGGCGGACAGGCAGAGAAAGAGAACCTGCCAGATGATGAAGCTGCCAGTAAGGATGATTGCTTTTTCATGATTGGTTGGGAAATGTGTGCTTATGTGTAGGATTTTTTTTTTTATTCTGCCTCTTCTCACCCTTTTTTGTTTTTGTTTATTTGTTTGTTTCTTTTTCTTCTTCTTACTTAGATATGCAGTTAAGATAGTTTTTCTTTCATTTCTTTTCATTCTTTTGAGGGATATAGAGGCATTGTGTTCTCATTCTTCTCAGCTTGTGAAAATTGTTTTGTATGGTTTGCGTAGACTATTAACCACTGGTTAACCACAGACACAAGCATGTTAGAACTAAACACATACAGTATTGTTTATAAGTTTCCATTTTAAGCTGTTTATCTGTTTGTCTATTACATTGTCTCTTATTTAGTTCATTCCTTAAGTTTTTTCATCTTTTCCTTCCTCATGCATTTCCTCATTGCCTTCTGTAATTAGTGAGAATGTTATACAAGTTGGAGAACTATGTAAAGTATGAGTAATGCTCGTAGGTACCTTATTTATATACAGAATTGCAGTTGTTAACAAGATTTGGCGTATATGTTTTTCTTATGAAAATTAGTTCCATTCCAAGTTGTAAATTCTTCAGTACAGTAGGGAAAATCCTGACATTATTTCTTATGTTTAATTAATTTCAAAGTTTCATTCTTACAAATAAGGATTTCACCTTTGACTGATGGGAAAGTGATTACAGTGACATTGATATCATAATATTAATACCTTAACTTTTTCTTTCAACAGGAAAAAAGCCTGGAGAACACACATCCACGTCCCCAAAAGGAGACACAGCCAAGTGTGAATTCTGCGGAAAGACTGATTTGCGATCCAAGTTCAAGAGATCAAAACGGTTCTGCAGTACATCTTGTGCGAAGAGGTATGTTGCTAAAGTGTTTTCATGAGACCTGGAGAACATGCATAAACTTTTTTTAACATGATTTTAAGCTCTAAATTTCTACTCACACAACATGTAATGCAATGTTTTAGTTTGAAGGTGATTTGCATGATTATTGTCATTTTCACAAAAATAAGTAAATTACACAAAAATAATCACACCTTTTCTCTTTCACCCCAAAGGTACAACGTCGGCTGCACCAAGAGAATTGGCCTGTTCAGAAATCCAGAAGAGTCTCCCTACAAGCGCATGAGAGAGGATGACAGCATGGAAGAACCTGACCATGCTCCTCAGCTGGAGGTGGCCGAACCGCAGGACACAGGGAGCGAGATGGAGGTGGATGATGGAACCATGGCTGTTGAGGGGACTCCCCTGCCGTCCTCAAAGGTAGAAGAAGAAGACGAGTCTGCCAACACAGAATCTCCAACGAAGTCTCCCAGGGTTGACATCCTTAGGTGGACGGTACGGATCTCCTTTTTTCCCCTAATTCCTTTTGTAGTGGCTTTAGGGGAGTGAACATTTTTGAGATTAGTTATTTGATGGATATTTTTATATTTGTTTTGTTGTGATTACAAGCTTGTAAGGTGTATATAGTTTTACAATTTCTGAATGGTAATATATAGTTGGAAGAATTTTGTGGGATGATAGCCTAATCTTTTTTTATTCAATATATTTTAAGGGAAGTGATCCCTTTTTCTTTTAACATGGGCAGTGATCCCTGTTTCTTTAAATGCATCGTTTCATGGGCAAATAACAAACTGTTAAAAGCATAATCAAAGCCTTCCTTTAGAAGACAATCCACGCTAATTCCCATAATTTGAAGAAAAAAAAAAAGCTAAGTAGGGTATCTCCTATGATGTCTTTTTGACCTAATGTATATTCATCCTTTCTTATAGGTCAAGGATGTTGTCGACTTCATACAGAATCTTCCTGGGTGTAAAGAATATGCAGAAGACTTTGCGCTTCAAGAGATTGATGGCCAGGCGCTGATGTTATTGAAGGCAGACCACTTGATGTCTGCAATGTCCATGAAGCTTGGACCCGCCCTCAAAATATGTGCAAAGATTGAGTCAATGAAAGGTGACAGAAAGGAAACATAATGACTGAATATAAAAAGTGAAAGATGATGGATCAAGAAAGAGAAAGAAAGAAAGAAAAAAAAGGATATAAAGTATCAACAAATATGTTGGGCCAACCTTGAGAAATAGGAAATGTATTTGGGCTGTGTTGTCATTTCTCTCATTCTTTCTTGTTTTCTCTCTCTCTTTGTTACCACCCTTTGCTACTCATTCCTTCCTTCCCTCCCTTTCCTATCCATGAATTTTCCTGTTCCAACACTTTCCATAAAGAAAAAACTTTGCTCATCTGTAAGATCAACTTCCAAGTAAACCATAAGAAAATACATTTTTAAAACTGTTGTTTTAAACATTGGAACCCATATCTAGTGTACATATAATAGTACTTACAGGGAAAGTGAGGAGCGAAAACCAAGTTAAATATAATCGTCTAAACCCTGACTGTGACATTCTTTGCACTGCCGTTTGTAGGTTAAGGTATTTTTCACCAACTGAGCGTTTAGAATTTGAATGTAATGTGTTTTTCTATAGGTGAATGTGGATAAGATATCTAGAGCTTATATCGAGTGTACAAGTGGGAGACAAACTTTGTTTTTTTTTTACCTTTAATTTATTTGGGAACGGCCGACTACTGACCACAGCGGAATTGTACTGACAGTAGTTGCGTCAGGTTAGGGTAAACCAACCAGTGGAGTGGTGCTTGTATATTTTCTAAATATGGATCTCATTAACATCCTAATTAATTAGTCCTACGAATAGTGTGCAATCATGACAAAAATGTCAACGTATGGATGGGCTGTCTGGTTTCCGGCCATAACATGCCAGCTCTTGCAACCAAGGCTCAAGCAACAAACAAAATTTTGTATCCTGTGAGGCATTTGTGATCAAGTAGTTTGGTCTGAATTATTATTATTTAATTTTTTTTGTTAGGGAAGTCTATTCTTATGATATTCGGTCTAATTTCACTAGTACCTTTTAATTAATATTTAATTTGATTTGTATTCATTCCTTGTTTTTTATTCAAGCTGAAGTGCACTATATGTATATTTCACATGCTTTTAAAAGTTTTCCTTGTCAGTTACCTGTTCTCCATGATGGAATATTAGGAGTATAAATGTAGTGGCACCTTGTAAAGAGAAATTCCTTGGTTGCTTCATTTATGCAAAAGCACGTAGACAAGCAACTCCCCACTAATAAGAAGTGGGGAGTTCTTGCAAACTGTATGTTGTTTCCAAAAACTTGATTCCTATATGTTATGGTTTTTGTGTGTTTGTACAGCAGAATGTTTTTGTAAATTGATAGATTTAGATATTTATGGTTGTTGCACTGCCTGTGACACTCCATTTTGTCATATCTTATATGAATAAAACACATGTAAAGATACATTTGATTTTGATTAGCACAAGAATCAACAAAGGAAAATTATTTAATAATAAAAAGTCAACATAAAAGAATTTACAGGAAAAAAACAAGTAAAGTAAACAGTCAAACAAAATATGAAATATTAAAGAAGACTTGAAAAGCTGCATTTTGAATTGTATACATAACCCCCCCCCCTCTTAGCCCATGCCAATTGTTGCTGTGGGACAGCTCCTTATTTTATTTATTAAAATTTTTCTGCCAAGTCAAAATCTAAGGTCATTAGCAGCATATACAAAATATAGCAATAGGGCAAAGCTTAGGGGCAAAGCCACCAGGTAAGGAAAGGCCCTACAGCATTCTGACAAAGTATTGTGGCAAAAAAATGATTGATAATTAGAACAAAATGTGTAAAATGTCAAAGGTTTTAGGGTGCTATAGATTAGTATAGTAATGAAAAGGGTAAAGAGGGAAGAGCAAATGGAGTACCAAGGCCATTCAAGCACTGACTCAAAGCCAGCCTTTCATCCTTTCAGCACAGCTCTCACACTTTGGGATGCACACACAAGAAAGGGATGAAGAGAAGAAAAAAGCATGCAAAATTATGAGATAGAAACTGGGACCTAATGCTTTGGATTTTCCCTGCCTTGGGCCTTAGCCCTCGCCTCAAGTTTGCATAGTCTTTCCTTCTCTCCTCTTCCTTTTCCTTTTCTTCATCCCCTTCTTGTCTCTACATCCTAAAGTGTGAGAATTGCACAGTCAGTCTTAAATGGCCTTCATACTTGGTTTCATTTTTCACTACCATACTAACCTACAGTGCTCTATGTTTTTAAGCTTTTCGCCACAATGCTTTGTCATAATGCTGTATGACCTTTCCTTACCTGGGGGCTTCTCCAAGCCTCACCCTGTCACTATATTTTGAGTACAACACTAATGACCTTAGATGTTGATACAGCAAAAAAATTCAATAAATAAATTGACATTATTAAAATTATAGGTCTTTGTAAACAAATAAAATGTAAAGTATTTTCCTGCTTTGGACTGATGAACAAAAACTGAAACAGTAGTTATTCTTAGTATGAAAGTACATTATAAAAAGATACAAAGAGAAAAATATATAGCATAAAATATTCCCCGAAGACACACACAAACCAAATTATCTTCAAAATTCTAGAAAACAGCAAAAAATATTAAATGCCCTTGTGATATAGAAATGAAACATCAATGGAAAACAATGTACAAAATATTTCCTAATAACTAAGTAATAGGAAGGCCAAGAGCTGTCTTCTTCAGAGACACAAAGATGTGTATCCTCAGGTATCTGAAAATTTTTAATTAAAGTAATTAAAGTAAGGTCTTTCATATGACAACTATCCAATGAATGTATACATGTAAATGACATGTGATTTATTCCTGCATAGCCTTCTTAACAAACACATTTGCATCAGTACAAATCTTCATATACACCCATACGGGCATCTATACACACAGTATATACCAATCACACATACACACACACATGTATATACATAAACATTTGGACAAGTACATGTACATATTCTTACACATTCATGATCTTAAAATATTTTTGGCATTACACAACAATATGCCTGATATCTCAATAGTCTGTATTTCTCCTTGGACAGAAATTCAAATATCACTGTAGAATTAACATCCACTTCATTATTACATACGAAAAAAGAAATCCTACATACAATCACAGTTTATAGGAACATCAGATATCATAGAATTATCACCATAATCAGAGTACGATTTTGGGGATAAACAAAATTCATGGTACATGGAAATGTTTATAAAACTTTTGATGTTTTATTAAACTCTTTATCACCAATCGATTTGGAGTACATATATGTCAAAGAATAGGAATAAATCTGCAAAGATATATGAAGAACAAGTCTGATAAAAAATACCAAATGTATAATCTTTCTAGAATGAAAATACAAATATATCACAATCTGGGTATGCGCTAGTTATGTACAAATTATCTCTCAAAATTCCACTATCATTCAAGGTGTTGTGAGTGTGGCACAACAATGGTGATTCCCGACCCTAAGTCCGTGGATTCTTGTACTGTCGCCTGACTGCTGAAGCGGTTCGTTAAGGTACGGCTTAATCGACTAATTTCTGACAAGACTTGGGATAGCAGAGCATTTGTTTGGTGTTGCGCCTCACGCTGTTGCGCTGCATCATCAAGGCGGGCTTCCAGGCGTTCAAGTCTTCTGCTTATGGCAAGGTTTTCTTCCAGGCGCTCTAGTCTGAGACAAACCTCCTGTAGCTCCCCTGGTGTAACAGCACCGTCCAGAAGGTTGGGTGACCTGGCGGACCCACTAGCCATTGAAGCGGTGACAGGGGGTTCTCTCATCTCAAGCATCTCCTCGCTTGGTTCATCTGTGTATTCATCATCTATGTCTTCCACTTCTTGCTTGAAGAATCTCTGCTTCTTCTTTTTTGGACTGCTGCGCAACATTTTCCCACGCCGCTTCAGTGAATTTGGCCCATCTAAGTCCGCTGAAACAAAAATAAAGAAATCTTACCTTCATAAGCGATATCATCTTTTAGATGATATAATTTTCATCAACTTGATACATGAATTACAATCTCTATCTTTTCTGTTATTAAAATGGTAAAAACAAAAAAGTGATTTCAACTAGTTATTTGTCTCTGTTACCCTGCTATATCCATAGGCCATTTCAGATATCAGGTTGAGAGTATTGCACAAAAGATGTGAAATAAAATCCATTACAGCCTTATCTACATATTTGCATTCTATCAAAAAATAATCAAAGTCTCCTCTCTACCTTCCCTCACCCCCATCCCACACAAACACAGATCTCACTACCTGGTATTGGCATGCCCACAACCTTCATCACATGTCTGACTCTCGTATAGAAAGGCCACAAGGGCAGCGTTCCAGTTGCCTCTACTGCTGCCTTGTGATGCTGGAACCCCTGAGCCAAATTCGCCCATTTCCGCTTGCACTGCAGTGCTCCTGCTTGGTGTCCCTCTAGTTTCATTTGTTCTGAAACAGTCTGAGAGAAATACATTTTGAAATAAGTGTTTGTCTCGTCTTCATAGATCATGTAAAGCATCTTCTATGACATGATATTGCATATTAATAATTCCGAGGATATGAGGATTGTTTCAGTGACATAACAATTTATCATAGTATCTTACATGCATTTTTTAATAATGAAGTAATCAAAAATAAAATATCCATGTTAGACAGCGCATTATACAGCAGCATAATACATCATTTTTACAATTACTAGACCTAGAAGAATTTATCTTGTTTAGAATTTTAATTTTTCCATCCATAAAAGTTAACTGTAAAGTTACCTTTGATACAAGATAAATGAGTATATTTTCATAACAATAAAAGCAAGATCCCTCTTTTCATCTCAAAATAATCAAAACTACCATAGTTAAATATCTACAGAAAACAGCATCATCAAATCATACACCAAAGTTGAAATATGCCCAGTATTCATTCTCCTCACCTCCCAGATTGTGTTATCATCACGGTCTGTTTCTCTGTCAGTGAACCAATCTCTAAATTCCAGTAAAAGATCAAGCAGCATCTGCACAGCAGCATCACTCCACTCCATTGGACCTATTGGAAATATTTATCAAAATAATGTGATCAGCAAATCATCCTATTCTTTAGCCACAAATTGAATGTACAGCTGACAATATAATAATGGGTCTGGGATAAAATATGCAGAGTAAAAAAAATCAATATTTTCTCAGCTAATTAGTTACGTCACTGGTTTTAAATTATAGAAGTCATATGAACAAGAAAGATTCATCAGAGATAACCAAAGGACAGTAGAACTTGTCTGGAAACTGACCTGAATCTTTTATTCCTCCAGGAGATGTACTGTTAAAATTAAAAAACAAAAATACAGATTTTCAAAAACTTACCATCTGAAGTTATGTCAGAAAAATCCTCATCTTCTGTATCATTGTGAGTCTTGAATTCATGTATAGTATGCTGTGCACGTCTGTTAACAAAGGTGTAACATTAAAACACAATTTACCTAGATGTGTACACTGAAATATTAAAATACATTTTGAGAGTTCTTACATGAAATATACCAAGCCAAGAAAGTTTAATTTTCTAATCATATCAATAGAATATTAAAATCTATGGATACTAACTCATGTCAACTTCTCTTCATACCAAGAGAAATCATACATAAATCCAAAGAAAAACTGTTTTCTGCTTTTGAGATATGGTAAGAATAATTGTTTGAATACATTTAAAGAAAAATTATTGAATAAGTCTGTTTGCAGCAATTTTCTGTGCTTGATTGTCTATAATATATACATGTATGTGTGGAGTAAGATGAACAATGTATGAGATAAGAATACTGTATATCAATATAGGCACAGTATTACCACTCTCTGAGACCTAGTGAAGGTATGTAATTTGTCTTCTTGTCAGTATGCTACTCAAACACATACAAGAGCATAGCTAGGATATTAGGAATGTATGTAAAATACAAGTTCTGAGTTTCTGAATACAGGATCTGAGTTTACACAGAATGTCATACTCCTTTCATGCACCTCACATAGCCGAATGGTTTACCTTTTTCCTTTTCTATTACTTGTTTAAGTTATAATTGAACTGTTCATTATCAACTACTACATTAAATATTCATAAATCTGAAGGCAGAGGAAAAACTACCCTTTGTGCCCTTCCTTTATGCCACTGCATGTGTGTATACATGTATGTGTAAGGAACATAGGAGGGTGAGAAAGAAGGAAAGAAGAAAGGAACGATGGATGGATGGAAGGTAGAAAAGACAGATGAGAGAGAGAAAGAGACAGAGAGACGAAACAAAGAGACAGACAGAAAAAGAAAGAAAAAGAAAGTAAAGAAAAAAACAGAAAGAAAGAAAAAGAAAGAGAGAAAGACAGGCAGACAGACAGAGCGACAGAAAGATAAAGAGAGAAGAGAGAGAGAGAGAGAAAAAGAGATAGACAGAGAAAGACAGCAGACAGAGACAGAGAATGGAATCTACACTACTATAAGTAAAGATGGAAGGATGCAAAGAACCCCATCAAGGAAAATAAACCCAAGCATCCATACCTATTTTCAAAATAGGCCTGAGTATCAGCATCGTCTTTGAGAAATTCATGCATGTTGTCGAAATAGTCAATTCTGTGTCCCGTCTTCTCGCCAGACATCTGCCTATCCAGTACAGCCAGGTATCGGATCTGGAGTCAACAAAATAACAGGATAAGGTTTGGTTAAGCAAACATCACTTGATCCTGAAGAAACCGTATATAGAAAGGAGGAAGAAAAAAAAAGGTAATTAACGAAAGGGATGCAGATAAACTGAGGATGCAGATCATAGGAAAGGAATACAATCTGCAATAACTAAAGTGAAAATTAATATTAGTACCATAGTAGTTGAAGTGATAATATACCACCATATACTCACAAGGAAATGTAAAGCTTACGATCACATAATAGGAAGACTTAATAACGACCACATGCATTCTTTTTTAATGAAAATAGAGAACCCAGATGGTTCCTCAGAATAACTTGAATTACTTTGAAAGCTTGTTTCTGGATGGAAGCAAGGCTGGGTGTGAATAAACAGTTGAAAGGCAAAACAGATGTATTTCATGGACTAAATTATTTACTTTCTCATCTATTTATTCACCTGACAATTTGTATATCTATTCATCTATTATTATATCTATATATATCTGCTTATTCATCTCTACATTGGTTTACTTATCTATATATCTATTTCTCTACCTGTTTATCTATTTATCTACCTTTTTATTTATTCATTCATCTATTTATTTCATTTATTTCTTCCTTTCTATATCTATTCATTCATTAATTCCTTTATCTATGCATTCATCTCTTCATTGCTATATTTAGGATTGCTATATTCTTTGTTCATGAACTCTTTAACTTAAGAAATAGATCTGAAGAGATGGGATGAATTAAAGTGCGTATCAATAATGGAGCATGAATATGTACCTATGAGTAGTTGTGTAAAGAAAGAGCATCTATTTGACTATATGACAATTTTATCAAAATGTGCACACATGTACACATACTTACACACATTTACACTTACACATACATGCCCTAATTAAGAACTGAGCAAAAAAATTATAGTTGAAGTATTGATATACTTAAATAAAAAGAAACATTTATACAAAATTTACCTACACTACAACTATACCTCTAAAAAATACAGAATCATAAAATACAAATAATGAAAAAAAAACTATCTGCACAAAATATACATACATCTAATATTAACATATAACATAAAAAGAAAAATAGATAATACACTATAATAGTAAGATGTAATAAAACATAACATATAACAAAAAAATATAAAATTCCAACACACAACAAAATAGACTAATAATAATGAAAAAGTACCTTCAGATTCCTCCATTTCCTGTCGCAGTCATCCCCTGTGACAGGAAAGCCGTCATGGGTCACCTGTGCTGCGATGTCTTTCCAAATGTACTTTTTCTTCCGCACCCCATTGCAGAACTGTGGCCAGTGGTCCTTGACCTTGTTGATGAGGCTGAGCACATCGTCATGACCCCAGTGTACCCGGCCGTCCTTCTCTGGGGGGGGTGGGATGACTGAACGACCGATGGGCACTGCAGAAAGAGGAGAACCTTGGAGTCTTTATTCAAATTAAAAGTTAATAAATAAAAAATAAATAATAAAAAAAACAATGATGATAAAGGTAATATGTTTCTGTAAGATATCTAAATCTTATCACTGCTACTGTTACCAAATCATTACCAATTCAAAAGCATGTGTCATTATTACTATCACATTATAATTATAGCAGTGATTATCATGTATCTACACAACGGGATGTATTCATGCCAATCCCGCCATATTATTAGCGGAATGGATAGTGTGTGATTATGGCGTACTTACACAACACATCGCCACATGACACATATAGTGATAATGCTGAGCTGAGAGAAATATGGTATGAGGCTGATTCCATAGCGTATAGTAGTTTGAATTCGTATGATGAGGATGTTAGTTAAGCAGTGGTTGAGATAGAGATTTGATGCTATGTGTAAGAGATAAATATATGAATGTAGTGTAGGATAGGATAGCTAAATGAAAATATAAAGAATTAGGATTGGAGTCGACATATGCTAGTAGAGTATAATGACTGTCTACGTATGAGCTATACAATACACATTGTAAGTAACAAACTAATATACATCACTAACAACATAATATATAGTAATAACTCAATACTATATACACACACTCACACTAAGTGATGAATACGTAACTATAAATATATAGTATATATAAACGATAATATATATAAATTATATCATATCTAAATAGTGAATCACTAAGTCAAATATAAGTAATATAGTATAATATAAATTATATATAAACTTATAGTAAATGTATGTTTAAAATATAGATCATGTATATGATACATCAATTAAGGACTCATACATACACAATATAACAATACCAGCCACATACATACATATAAAATAATCAATAATTATATAAAATCATATGATTATATACTATACACATCAACACTCAATAAACAACACACACACACACCACTATACACTATACCACGTACATGATTACTCAACTAACCACTAAACTTAAATGAGATATAGATGATAGTGTATATATATATTATATTATATATATAATATGCAACGACAACACACACACACACACGTACATATAATCGATAATAATTAATGTATTAATATAACCATGATATATGATTTGCAATGTCTTACATATACAGCAGTAATACACACACACTAGCATTAATAAGACAATATAGCATTACACACACACACACACAGCATGTATAGGCATCAGGCATCACCACGAGATATTGAGATGTATTCGACAGCGACACAGAAGAGACAGACGAACGCTCACAGTAAGAAGTTCGACACGACACACAGACTAACACGTTCTGAGCACGACTCGACAGCATGAGGCTGTAGCTCACACGAAGGCAATGAATGATCATGTATTTATGGATGTATTAGATTGTAAGTTATAGTATTATAATATAAGTAGTAATACGACGATAGGATATGCGTTAGATCTCAGCGATCGAATTTGATAGACTGTAGCATATGTCAATAGCAGTGCATGACTCATGAGTGCAGGCTAATTGATTGTTGTAGGTTAGTAGGAGGTATAGGTGTATGAGACAGCCTGAGAATTATTGATATTTCAATGCGAAGAGTGATAGTGTACGTATGAGTGACTATGTAGTACATCAATAACTACACATAATATATATAGTAATTAGCAAGTATATTATTATTATAACATAATATAAGGTGAATATGTAGGATAGTATACATATATATACTATTAATAGTATAGTATCATGATATATATTATATATTTATATTATATATAATATAGTATGATAACATGATTAGTAGGGTACACTTTGATAAATCATATTAATATATAATTGAATATAGCCACTATGAATACAATATTAAGTATATAAATACTCTAACTATATACGATATAAGAAATATCATACATAGTAATTATATAGATGTAAGTCGGAGGAGATTAAGTAGTGATTAGTGGAATGAACAGCTAGAGAGGATATAATGTGAGTGATGTCGATTGTTATTAATTATATATATAGTAGTAGTGTAATGATAATACTCACACAACTCAACTAACATACACGAGATAAAGTAAGCATAAAGTATATAATTCAAGTATAATAATACATATATGAAATATATAACATATATTATATAAATCGGATATATATATATTATTATATTTATAAACTTAAAATCAATATATCAATCACTCAATATCTAGCGAATACGAGTCCGGTCTAACTGATTATAATCACATAAGATATGATCATCGATGTAGTGAGTTAGATATTGAGCGTGATGCCGTTGTCATCAACGATGAGATGCATCGTCGACACGAAGGCTACCGTAAGAGGGAGTGGGGGCACACACAAACAACACACACACACACACACAGACAAATTGAGAGGAGTGCGTTACGTCGAGGCGGCGTTGATATCGACAGGTTTAAGTGTTGTTTGCATACCAGCGACACATATATATAATATATAGTACTTATATTAAATATATATATGATATATATAATGTAGTATTATACAATTTTATAATTGGGTAATTCTCGCGATGGTACCTATACATGATATACATAAATTACAATATATATATATTAGTATATAATATATAGTATAGTATATATAGATGAGAGATAGGTGATAAGGATTGTGTGTGTATGTGAATAGATACAATTAGTTGCATAGTATATGCTGTTGCTGAGCAATGTTGTATCGGATATATGAGTATGTATATATATATACTACTACAATACTATATATAGTAATATATATACATATATATAATATTATTATACCACCTACTGTCATATATATATTATATAATAGTAAGCGTCACAGGTATATGGAGATTGCTATAGTAGATAGGTAGACGTTGGTGTAGATAGAACATCACAAATCATGATTTAATAAATATGACCGTTGAGATATAGGTGGTATCAATGATCATATCAACATATCGAGTACTGCTGACAAGCAGTAACATTAGTAGAGTAAGTGGATTAAGACGCGAATAGACTAATCACACAACGCATACAACTACCCTATCACCACTACAGTAGGAATAGACATATATAGGTATATAGCAGTTAATTATCTGTAACGGATAGAAGCTAGTAGCGCAGTAGCTGATGGAACAAGCAGATATGACAGATAGTCGATAGCGATCTGAACAGCGTACTATAATAGTTATATGTTAGAGATATAAAAATATACAGATAGGATTAGAGAGTTAGTTTCTTGATAGATGGAGAGCATGTCGTAGGGATACGACAAGTGTAAGAGAGTGTAGTGCGCTACGACTTAGTACATTGCGACTGAGCTACGGACGTATATAATAAGGCGTTGAGAACGTGGTAGTGGTTAAGAGCTGTTTGTCGTGGTGCAGTATATATCGTGGTAGGTGGAGGAGTGCAGACAACTAAGTATGGATGAGACACATGATATGATAAGTTTGGCTGAGGTAGGCAGAATGATATATGTGAATTGGATATATATTAGGGAGTGGGAGTGATTTGGAATGACGTTATGGACTCAGGATGATGAAGATATACGTACATATGTATACAATATGATGTGGTAGCATTTTAGTAGAGGATTATATATCAAGTAACTGATAGAGTAGCAGAAATTAATGTATAGTCACCACAGCAAGATCACATACACTAATAAACAGTGATAGGTAGTCTGATTAGTATATGAGGTATGGAAGCATGAGTGATTTGTGGTCAAGAGTGAGTGGCGCTTTGTAAGTAGTAGGAGGTGATATTCTGATAGTAGAATGAGTAAATGTTATATGATGTCTAATGACGTTGTAGAATTATAGATGGCATATAGCATTATAGGTGTATAGTAGGTGTAGTACGGTTAGTGCTACGTATATAAGAGCAAGATGTTTGGTGTTGAGTGGGGTTTTGCTGATTGAGTGCGTCGGCCACAGAGGCAAATTATTCAGAGCCCACACTTCGATTGCGCTTAGCGTTAGATAACAGCGACTAAGTAGTCAACGTATGCTACAGTGTACATGATAGTTATAGTATCTTAGATATATAGTATAGTAGTGAATCGGATTTAGTATGTAGATAGTAATCGTATGTGTATGAGTTGGTTGGTATCGAGTGGTGATATAGGTTAAGTATAGTTGTGTTAGAATATGCGCTCACTTGTATCTTATTACTTAAGGTTAGAGAGAGTTATGATTGATTGTTAGATGTTAGTGCTTTGTGTGATGTATAATTATAAGAATCAGTAATATATGAGGATATTCAGATAAAGCTGGTGAAGTGTGAGGTAGTGATGATTTGATGGAAGGATATCATTAATCAGAAGCCATTATGAATCATGATGCTGATGAGAATACTGGATAGATAATACTGAATGAGAGTATGTAGAGTGTGAGTGTATGGATAGTTATGTATTATAGATGCCCTCACGTATATGAGGACACAACAGTCATTGATACTCAACTATCGAGTAATATTGTTATATTATAGTATTGCGATTATTATGCCTACATACACTACATACTATACATGTACTAATATAATATTATAATATTATATGATAGATGTGCTGAGGTCGTGTGCGTGTATGATAAGATGGATGATATAAGTGTGTAGGCTGGTTGGATAGATTGAGTGAAATAGATGTATTATATTGCATAGTGATATGTAATGGTCGGTTAATGGTTTGTGTAAGACTGATGGTATATATTGAGTATATAGTTGTATTAGTTAAATAGTGATGACGATTGAAGTTTATTGAGTATTATAGAGTGTTGTAGTAGTGGTTGTGTGTATAATGATAGTTAGTTAGAGTATGTAAATGTAGGTATATAGGTGTCATTGATAATGGTGTGTGGAAATTAGGGTAAGTGATTATAGTAAGTGATATAATATAATGTGATATATAATTATGTATAATATATATAATATATATATGAGGACGACCACACACACATGACATATATGATATATACTAGATATCATAATATAA